CGACCAACAGCTGATCAGCTGTTTGTTGGCAGAGTGGGGCAGCCATTTAAATTTAAATGAAGCGGCGATTATTTAAATCACCACTTCGTTTCCCTTTTTCAAACTAATCTACATACCTCCGTCGACAGAGGCATGTAGTCTAGACACACCCCGAGGCCTCTCTGTTTAGCTTTCTCTCCTTCACTCTCTCAATTTAAATTTCTCTCTCTCCCGGCTCCTATGTACTGACTGGTTTAGCTGGTTACATAAGTACACATCTGGCTTTAAGCACGTGTGTTTTCTGATTGGATCCAAAGGGGCCACTTTGTGGGTTCAAATGTCGACCTGGGCTCAGGGCCTCCTTGAACTGGGGCCTTTTGTGGGGACTCAGGGCTTGGTGAGGGACTTGGGCACTCAGCTGTCACAATCATCCAGTCTCTCACAAGTTCAGACACCATCACCAACTGCTGCACAAAGTCATTTAATGCGTTACCAGTGGCACGTGTGACCCACCAAGCAGGAAACTTCACATGGTTTCATCAGCACTTTGCAGGGACCAGCCAGGACACAATCAGGAAGGGACATGGTACCTGGGCTTTCTGCTCTAAGGGTTGCCAGTTCTGGTCCAGCCCCAGGGCAGTGGAGTGGCTGGTTCAGCGGGGTCGGGAAATCGATGGTAGATAGCAGGTCCCAGACTCAGAGGAAGGTCTGATCGCATGTTTCCCGGAGAAGGTTGCGTAGCAGAAGGTGGTGGCTGCATAGTAGAAGATCAGGTCAGGGTTGCTAGATTTAGCGCATGTTGGCTTTGATCCAGGGCACGAAGTGGGAAATCCGAGTGTAACCAGCAGGAGGGTCAATGCTGTTATAGCCTCCAAAGGAGACGATGCCTTCAGCCACTCCACAGCACACAAGAGGGCCCCCAGAATCGCCCTGTCCCAGCACAAGCCAGGAGAAAAGAGAGAATGCCTCAATTATATCTGCATCTCCCAGGCAGTCTAGTCCAGTAAACCCAAAACATGTGAAAAAACTGACTTTACACTGGGTATGTCTACACCTGCACCCTAGTTTGAACTAGGAATGCAAATTAAGGCATTCAAAGTAGTCAAGGAACCAGTGATTTAAATATCCCGCGCTTCATTAGTATGTTCTCGCCGGCGTGTTACTCCGATCAACAGCTGTTTCAAAAGTGGAAGTGTGCGCCAGGATGCGTTAGCTCCAACCAAACCCCTTGGTTCGAACTAATGCGTCCTAGCACACACTTCCTGGTTCAAAACAGCTGTTGATTGGAGTAATGCACCAGTGAGGTCATGCTAAGGAAGCGTGGAATATTTCAATCCCTGGTTCTGTGACTACTTTGAATGCCTACATGTGCATCCCTAGTTCAAACTAGGATACAAGTGTAGACATACCCTCCGACTAGCCTAAGATGAAGAACTTTGGGAATTTAGACCAGAAATACCAGTGTCGTTATCTAGCCTGACCTCCTATCTAGTGCTGTATGCAAAAAAAGATGAGTAGCCCCACTTAGAGTCCCCATTGTCACACACTTGTAATCAATCTTGCGCAAGGCATGCCATGTAAGGCGTCCTTGGCAAAGTTATAAGCTGTTATATGTGATTGTCCTGTTTAAATCCAGGCCTCACCATTGTGTCTGAAGTTGCAAGTATTGGCTAGCTATTAGCAACTCAAATATGTTTGGCTCTTGGGTGATACCCATTTCTACATCAAGATCAGCCTGCCCTGTATCGATGGAAAATTATGGAAAATGCACTCAAAGCGTCAGGGCTGACCAATGGCACCCCTGGCTTGGCCATTGATAGCTCTGTCATCTCTGAGTGTGGCAGTTTGTAGCTGTCTCACCCCTGGGTATGGTTGTTTATTGCCTTGTGATCTCTGGTCTTGGCTGTTTACAGCTCTGTCGCCACTGGTAATTTCTTCTGCTCTGGCAGCTTTTCCGTTAGAAATTCCCCCTGCCCATGGGGATGACACCATTCACACATATTACCCAATAAATCAATTACCATGTAAATGGACTTTCGGTACCGGGGGTCCCCTACACACAGCATGGTGGAAGGCAAATAGAAATGGTACCGCTTCTGACAGAGACGATCAGTCACCACCGACAGGTTCACTTCCCGAAGAGTGTTGGTTCTTGTGGTAAAGCTGGTCCGACCCCAGCCAGCCACATTGCACATGGTCCCTGGGCTCACTCTGCGATGACCAGTCGTTAAACGGACCAGGCCCACTTCCCTGGTCAGTGTCGCATTGCGACTCAGCTGTTGGGCCAAAGAGAACCAGGAAACGTACGTGTGTCTTAGATGGAGAAAAAACAAAATCAAGAAGTGGGGGATGGGATGGGGGTGGTATCTGCACCAGTGTGAGGTCACTTGGGGTGGCGGGATGGGATGGCAGTGATATAGCTTGGAGTGGGGGCAGATAGCTCAGTAGTTAGAATATTGGGCTGATAAATCCAGGGGGCCATTTAGGGATCTGGGGCAAATCTGTCAGGATGGTGCTTGGTCCTTCTGTGAGGGCAGGGGACTGGACTCAATGACCTCTCAAGGTCCCTTCCAGTGCTATGAGATAATAATGTAAGGAGATATACCTATTACCTGTAGCAGTGTGAGGTCACTGGGGCTGGCATGGGGGTGGTACCTACAGCAATGTGAGGTCAGTGGGGGTGGGAGAATGGGAGAGGGCGGTACCTGCAGCAGCATGATGTCGTTGTGTAATGTCTCCCTGTTGTACTGCTGATGGGGGATCTTCCTGCACACGGGGATCTCTTGCTGGCTCCGTTCACATTGGCCCATGTTATGGGCTCCCAGGACAACAGTGATCCTGCTGTAAATGTGGATTGTCCGGGGACAGGAGATCGGCTCTTATATGGCTACATCTAGATTGCAAGCCTCTTTCGAAAAAGAGTGTCTAGACTACAACCAGTACTTTTGGAAAAGCAAGCCACTTTTTCAAAAGAGAGCTCCCAGGCAGCCTGGATGCTCTCTTTCGAAAAAGCCCAGTCTGCATTCCATCGCACCTTTTTTTGAACGAGTACTTTCGAATAAAGGCATTCTTCCTCATAAAACGAGATTTTCCATGGTTGAAAAAACTGCCACATTCTTTCGATTCTTTCAAAAGAACACGGCAGCAGTCTAGGCACAGGGGATTTTTTTTCAAAAAAAGGCCACTATTTAAAAAAAAAAAAAATCTGTCGTCTAAACACATCCACTGATGTCCTGGGTCTCAAGTCCCCTTCATCCCGGTCACACCTTCCTGCTGTACTGAACCCTGTTCCCAGCCCAGTTCCTTGCAGAGCTGCCCTGGTGCTTTGACCCCTCCCTATCCCACAGCCCCATTGATTATCTCAGCGCTGGGGCTGGGCCATGTGTTGCAGGGCCCCTACAGACTCGCAAATGCCCCCCCAGTCTGCTCTCTGCCCCTCCTCTGCTGCCCATTCTGGCACCAGAGCTCCTGGCTCCCCCATCCCCTGTGCTCCCGCCCGCCCCCCATCCCAACCCAGAGGCACTTACTCTCCCTGGCAGTGAGCGGCCGTCAGCACAAAGTTCTCCGCCACCAGGAACCCGCCGCAGCCCGAAATCTTGTCTCCACGTCGTATACGCAGATAGGCCATGTAGGGTCTGGAGTGGGGCTGGGCTTCCCATCCCCCGATGATCTCACCTGGGGGAAAGTCAGAGTCATACAATGGCCCCCCCTCATCTTCCTGGATAGGGACTGAGCTCCCCATCCGAAAGGGGGGCTCCCACAGCCTCCTTCCACCCCCTTAATGCTCTCCCTGGGGGATCCCGGGACCTAGATCCTGGCCCTCTGCTCTGCTTTGCCCCACAAAGGGCCCCCCATGGGGCTGGAGGGGAAATATGAAGCTTTCACCTGGCTGGGGGCAGAATCAGTGTCAACCACCCCCAGAGTGGGGCAGTAATTGCCCTGCCTTGTGTTCACAGCTCTGTGGATCAAATCCACCCCAGGCTGCTCCAGCCTGTCCCCAGCAGGGCACGGATGGGGCTTCTGTGACTGCTACTTCTCCACCCACCCACAAGGACCAGGCTGGGCTGCTCCTCGCCCGACTCACCGAAGTATCGGTGACCGAGGAAGTGGCTTCAACTGAATGAATCCTAGCCCAGGGAGCACTTTCTCCCTTCCCAGCTTGGCTGGATTTTTTTTTTTTTTGTGTGCAACCTGTCTTTTTCCTTCCACTGCTGCGACATGTTGAAGGGACAATTTTTCAGGATGAAAAAAATAGTTTGGGGGTTGAAAGTGAAAAGTGAGACTATCCCTCGGGAAAACAACAAATCTTCTGGGATCTGCTCAGGAAAAGGCGCCAGGCGGGTGGGCGGGAGTGTTGGAAAATCTCCCCTTTAAGGAATGGCAGAGATTGGCTTTACTGTGGGAGCTAGACCCAGGTCAGGGACCACTTACTGTGCTAGTCACTGCACAGACCCACCCATCCCTTCTGGGTTCAAAAAGACACAGAATCATTTTTGTCCTTTAAGGGGAACTGGATACCCGAGAGCATATTGCTAAGGATTTAGGTGCCTGATTTCCATCCATGACAATAAGAGACCCATAGACAGGTTAATGTTCCCCCCATAGATCGTGGGATGAGCTGGAAAAGGATCCCAAGTTGCTTAGGTCCGAGCCCTTAACCTTGGGCAGCAAGAGCAGGGACCTCTCTCCAGTATCTGCTCCTTGAGTCTCTTCGGCCACCCTGCCGGTGGCTCGTAGCAAGTGGGGGACACGACTTAGCAGTGGCATCTCAGAGAAGCCATCTGGAAGCTGATCCACCCACCCCCATAGGCCGAGAGTCCCAGAGCTACTCAGGGGAGGCTGCAGGGGTCCCAATAGGCCGTTGCGCCAGGTAGTTCAGGGGAAGACCCTCACTCACCCCACAGTCCCCTACCCTGCATGGGCCCCTCTCCGCACACCCCCAGCTCCCTTCCCCCACTCACCAGACCAGCCCCCAGGGGGCAGGAGGAAGACCCAGGGGAGAAGTCCCACCACCAAACGCTGCATCGTCAGAGCCATCCCGGGCCAGGCACGGAGCCGCTCCCTCCGGCCTGAGGCTTTTATGGACTAGGTGGAGGCAGGGCCAGCCAATCACAGGGCCACATACACTCCTGCCCGGGAACATCCCTTGGAGATGGGGCCACAGCGAAGAGATGC